GTATTACTGGTGAAGGTTAGTATTACTCTTGAAGCTTGAAATAAAAGATAAACGAGTGATTTTACGAACCCTGAGACTTTTTTTTTTAGCTTTTGTAACTACAACAATTTAGGGTGTTGGGGGAATACCTCACGCATACTTCCCGTACGTGGTTGATCGTCACGTCAGTTCCAACGACACGCGGACGGAACGTGGTTGATACCTCCAGGAGAAGAGAAAGCGTGTTACAGACGTAGTTTTATTTGTGTGGTTTTCAGCTGTACAGTGAGAATAACATCATCTGGCCGTAGTTTATAACTGTGCACCGGTAAAAATCATACTTTATCGTGGTGTCCAACTATGCACTGATAAGGACATAGTTTCCTTCGTGGTTTTTTTCAACTCGAGAATAACAAAAACAGGAAGAACAATACATCGTGATTGGCTAAGGTTGTTTACATCCGGGGTCCGTGTGTTAGACCCCCTCCTTCGCTCCAGGTAAGATACGATATAATTGATTAACATTCATTATTACCTGCCTATGTAATCCTAGGTAATACCTGTAAACTACGTCATCTATTGATTGTACGGAGAGATTAATATCAATATCTATAGGAACATCATTAGTTCTACAGGTGTTTGTATTCTGTCTTACCAATCAATGCTAGTTTGATCTATATGTCTAATCAGTCTATATGTCTAACAGGGGGATATCTTCAATGTCTTTTCTTGTTTCGTGGGATCTATAGTTTGAACTGTGGTTTTTTTCTTCCACTGTGGATGTGATCTTTTATACATTGTCTCGCTATACATACATACATACATACATACATACATACATACGTACATACATACATACATACATACGCAGCCCCGTACCGCTATTTCCCCTCTCCCACACCATCCTCTTCCTTCTCCTCGTCTTCACCAACTCTCTCTCTCTCTCTCTCTCCTCACTCTACCCCGCCCCAGATAAACGGAAATCAAACCCCGATTTTTACAGTCTATTGTCTTAGTTCTTGACGGAAGGTTGTGTGTGTGTGTCGCAGGTTCAGATACATTCACGAGCCAGTACATGTCCAGGACTTGCCAAAAGTGCGTAACAGAGACGTGATACCGACCGACCAAGCGACTAACGAGCTGATCGGTGGCGAAGATGATAAAGTAAAGTTTATCCTACGTTTACACCCCAGTAAATCAGTTTAATCAAAGCTACCTCCTATAACAAGCTCACAGGTTATCGTTCACCTGACGAAGATATGAGCAAATCACCGCTGTCCAGTCCATAGGTTATCGTTTCGTGGATGTAAAGTTCCTATCATTCGTCTTCAAAGGATTGTTGTGAAGCCATTATAGTTGAAGATAACAAGAATATGGCACTCTTTGTGTGATGTACGTCTCTAAGGGAATACTGTACGTGTGTGTGTGTGTGTGTGTGTGTAAGTCCTTAACCCTTCCGATACACAAACACCTACACAGCTCAGGCGGGGAATAGGAAATTGTGTTGGGGTTCCGCTCTCAGGTGGCCCAAGTCAACAAGTTCTGGCGACAACAGGTGTTAGCGTCAACAATAGTGTCTAATGGATTTACTTCCTTTACATATAAGACTTTTCAGTGAGGGACAGACGCCATATGGGCAGTGAGGGAGTGTAAGGAAAATATGACAACGTAATCAAAGCCTATTGGAAGGGAGTAAAAGGTGATATTTGACTTCACTCTTCATAATTACTGTATTTGTAGAAAAAAGTGTTTATTAATTCCAATTTAAAATGAATAAACTATTACACGAAGTAGAATCGTTAATAAGAGTAATACTCTATTCAGTTTTACATCTTATGATTTCTACTTTACGAGATGTTTTGTTCCATTAACGTAAAATAATAAATTAACTTCTTTTCATTTCATGTAGTACTTTAACCTTAATCCAAATAAACCTCTTCAACCTATCATAACATTTTTTAAATATATTCTACTCAAGTTACGTAAGTTAGTTTTGGGTTAGGTTAGGTTGTTTTGTCTGTTTTAAAAGAACTACTTGCTACCTTTGCCGGTATGACGTGTTTACAAGTTGGAAAGACTTTACACATTTGATTTTGAGTTATCGATTTTTTTTCCTATAACTGATCCGCCCTAATTAGTGCATAGTAAGTAACTTTTCATTCTATGCCGAAAATATCATAATTACGATGGCTATAGTGAATAAGTAAATTAAATTATATATATATATATGAAAAATACCACCCAGAAGTTTCTTTGAAGAGTGTGAGAATTTTATTAAAAGTTCGAGTTGACATAATGAAGTGAAGAGAGTAACTCAATTAAAAAGGTTATGCTCTCTCTCTCTCTCTCTCTCTCAGTAAATAACATTAACCCTCGTAGCATAAATTCATTATTAATCATACTTAAAAATTCATTCATAGAAAACGGGTTAATATTGTCTGACGTCAAACACACTCGACCAATCAGACGCTAAGAAACAAATTATATCGTTCTCTTTAAATAGTGGTTAATATTCCCTAATTAACGATCAAAATTACGAATTAAAAAAACCCGCCATGATCACCTGTTCGACTATACACTTCTGAGGCTGAGACGCAAAGACAATAACAACCTGTGAAGCTAAGACCAGTCTTCACTTTACCGCAGAAATTGATTACCACCAGATGAAGTCTCGCAGTGTCCTTGGGCCGACCTTGCGCTAATGCTATTCAAATTTAATATTGTGAGAAGGTTAGTCGAGGCGAGAGACACCCTCCCTCCCTCCCTCCCTTTCTCTCTCCCTCCTTTCCTTTCTCCCTCCTCTCCTTCTTCCCCCTTCCTCTTCCTCTCTTCACCCCCTCTCCCCCTTACTCTCCCCCTTTTCACCCCCTCTTCCTCTTTCTCCCTTTCTCTCCCCCCTTTTCACTCCTCCCCACCCCCTTCCTCTCCCCCTCCCCCTCTTCCTCCTTCCTCCTCACTTATGTTCCCCTCAACTTTTGACAGGTCCTTAATATCTTGACTTTATCTTATTTGTCTCTCTCTCTCTCTCTCTCTCTCTCTCTCTCTCATCACCACGCTCACCATGACAACCACACTTCCTCTACCAATGACCAGTACAAATCGTTCCTAAATAGCGCCAATAGTCGCTCTGGTCACCCTAGCTCTCCTATATACACAACTATCCATTAATTCGGACTTATACCCTTATTTGTGCCCCTCCTTACCACCCTTGAAAAGAAAGAGACATAGACATATTCATGGTTATGTCTGTCTGTCTTAAGCAAATTGTGGACCTGTTTTTGTATCTTGATTTACATATAAGAGATCAAATTAGTATCGTCTGGAATATATATTTTTTAATTGTTTGTTTCAGCCATTATTCTGTGTTTCTGTTTATCATTTGTTCTGATGGGCGTCTGGTCATCCTTATCCACCTCTATCTTACCTCCATCCTTACCCCATCCCCCTCCACACCCTACCATCTCAACCACCCCATTTACTCCTACCACCTCCCACCCTCGTTCACCCTTACCATCCCCCCTCCCTCACCACCCCCCCCTCCACCACCCTTACTACTATTCTTATATAAGGAGATTGTCAGTGTAGCCAAACTAGAAGAGGAAGGGAACCACAGTCATTGTAGCCAGAGAAGCGGACTCCATTCAGGTGAAAGGACTTGGTTGAGGGCTTCAGGGCGCACGAATTCCCTCCATATCTACATTCTTTTCACTCTAATTCCACTTTTCCTCCCCTCCTTCCCCCTCCCCCCTTCCTGTTCTCCCACTTTCCTTTTCCCTCCCTTCCCCCCCTCCCTCTCTCCCTCTTTCTCTCCCACACAGGATACTGAGTTTGTGTCCCTCAAGATGGTGGATGTTCCCGTAGCTGTGGCCTCCTCCCGTGACGAGGTGGCGATCAACACTTCCTCCTTCTCCTTCTCCTCCTCCGTCACCCCGCCAGCAGGAATGGTCAATCAGGGAAACTCTCCTTACGACTTCAACCTTCCGTTATCTAATGAAACGCTCATGGTCATTGGAATATATTTGACCATATTGGGTAAGAAGCCAATGTAAAACTGTGTTATTTTTTAGAGAACTGTGTTGCATGACTTTGATAACTCTTCTGTACGCTTACGTAAAGTGCGAGATTTTTTAGAACCCTTTGTTTTATATCTTAGAAACCATTCTATCGACACCAGAAACCTGTCTTTCTGGAGTATATTGTGGTGTACACGTGGATGTTGGAGAGAGAGAGAGAGAGACAGAGAGATAGACAGGCAGAAGGAGAGAACGACAGAGAAATAGACAGAGAAATGGAGATATAGATAGAGAGTTTGTGACCCTAATATAATTGTATAAAGGAAGAGTGGTAATGAAATAAGAGACAGAGAGAGAGAGATAAAGAGACACTAAGCTTGCTGTGTAGTGACAAGAAAGAAAGAGAAAGAGAAAGAGAAAGAGAAATAGAGCGAGATCTTAGCTTGTTATAGAGGGGAAATGGTGATATGAGACCCATAGGAGTGTTCTGGGGTGTAATGCAAGAAGCCTCTCTCTCTCTCTCTCTCTCTCTCTCTCTCTCTCACACACACACACACATAAACAATGCCTAGACCCCCGTAGGTTAATCGCTCACACTGAGTTGAATGATTACCTTCTCGTTGTTAATCAGCACCAACAATGAACAGGTAAGAAACATTTACCTGAGAGAGGGCAGGTGTCTACAGGTGTCTACATCAACTACTTGGGTCATTACTACGTCAATAAGAGGATACAATGGTGCTGTTGACACGTGTATGTTATTGTGTGTATTTTTTAACTACCAAACTTGATCAAACACGTTTTGAACTTGTTGTAAACAGGTCCTAAGCTCGTTCATAACGCCTGTTAAGACTTGTCTCTCTTCCCTCCTTCTCCCTCCATGTATCTCCTCACTTCCTCCTTTTCTCTTTCCTCTTTCACGTCTCTACTTCTTTCCTCCTTCCGTTCCTTCCCATCTTCCGTTCCTTCCCCCTCCACACCTCACCACCCCCTATCCCCTTAGGTTTGATGTCGACTGTAGGCAACTCAACCTTCCTGGTGGTGTTACGCCGTCGACTACGAGCCGTCAGTGACGGTCAGACGGTCCTCCTGATGAACGCCGCCTTCTGTGACCTGGGCATCTCCATCACTGGCTACCCTTACGCCACCATCAGCGCCTTCTACGGTGATTGGCTCTTCGGTGACGTCATCTGCCAGCTGTATGGGTTCCTTTGCTTCACGCTTAACGAGGTAAGAAGAGACGGGGGAAAAGCAGAGTTTGTTTTAGGTGAAGTTTTGGAGAAATTGAGAGGGAACAGATTGACGTGTAATGACTGTGTTCTATATTGGGATGTGGATGGCCATTGTGTTTATTGTCTCCTTCTGATTCTCTTCTTCTTCTTCTTGACCTTTGACACATACACACACACACACACACACACAGGCTCATTCACATACCTCATAGCAACCTTCAGAGAGGAAGAAAAGGATAACCCAACACACACAAATATATATATATATATATATATATATATATATATATATATATATATATTGTTACGCCGTCTCTTAATTTACTTAAATATCCAGGTTCTAGGCGTAACCAAACAAAAAGTGAAGTAAATTAAAAGAGAATAAAAATAAATAAAGTAAACCTTTAAGAATTTAATTGATTAAATATTAACACAATAAAGAGCCTCGTAGGCTGTCACAACAAATTGATTCACCATCGAAACTTTTAAGACACAAGTGATAAACATCGAAACATCAAAAGAATAAAAATAAAGCATTGGATTACGTTAACACTGCATAAACATATAAAAACTATCACTGAAATTAACTAACGTGAAACAACACTGAATTACTTGAATACAACTAAACAAATACTGATGGACACAAACAGAGACATAAATAGGTACTCACATAGATATACCACATTGGTGGCGACAGGAACAACACAAATAAATTAAGTATAAGTAACAAGTGACACTCAAAGGATGTGGACTGTATGACAAGAGGACTGAACTAACTCAAGTCAGTTGGTGGGTCCTATATATAAGGTCGGCTCCTGCCACGCGACCCGCCGGTGGGTCGTTTAACGATGCAGATGGTCGTTAGAGAACAAAGAATGCTGGTTACAATACAAAATAAAGAAATAAGATGGGCTTGAACAAATAATGACAGTTAAAACCTTAACAGCACAGGGTAAGGTGACTAGAATATATAATAGTAAATTTAACACATCATTACAGGAATAATATGGAACATGGGAGCATGTTATATATATAAAAAAAAATAGAAAATATACGACACGGTCGTAACAATATATATACATCACCTAGTTACGTCAGCGCCGTTAAATTAGGTATTATGTCAATACACGGGGAGGGAGATGACCTGAATAGCAAGAGAGCCTGAGGTGCTGGTAGTGAGAGGAGGGAGAGAGAGAGAGAGAGAGAGAGAGAGAGAGAGAGAGAGAGAGAGAGAGAGGGGGGGGTAGTGTCTGTGTAGAGAAAGGGTGAGGAAGAGAAAGAGAGAGAAGGGGTGGGGAGGAAAGGGGAGAAACAGGTATACATAATATGGTAGAAGTTTGCAAGGTTGATTATCGGTTTCCGATTCATTGAGGGGGAAATATGATAAAAAGGGAAGGAGAGGGAGGGAGGGAGGGAGGGAAGGAGTGGGAGGTAGGGAAGGAATGTGGGGAGGGAAGGAAGGAGTGGGGGGAAAGAGGAAGGGGAGAAGTATATGGGAAAATAAATAAACATTGAACAAAAGTGAAAGAGAAAGAGGAGAAATAGAGAGGAATAAAACAAAGAGGTAAATAAACAGAGGGTAAGTTAAACAGGACGATAAATACGGGTAGAGAGACAGGCATAGAAACGGACGGCTAGACAGACAGGCATAGAAACGGACGGCTAGACAGACAGGCATAGAAACGGACGGCTAGACAGACAAATAGACTTCAAGGGGCCAGTACAATAAAACAGACAGACTCCAGGTGTCAGTACAGATAGATAATGAGACAAATATACACTCACTAAGATTAATTACGTGTCTACCAATGAAAGAAAACGACAACAATAAAACTCAAAGAAAACTGAAATGGGAAACTTTAATTAAAAGTGTATTCATGTATATATTACCTGCATGATGTTTATGAAGTAAATACTAGTTATTGACACTATATGAAGACCTCAGGCACTCGATGAATAAAAGAATTCTTGATTTGGTTGTCGTTTTTATAAGAATATTTCCACAGGTACAGATGAACACGCTGGTGGTGATCGCTGTGTTCCGTTACGTCAGCGTTTGTCGGCCTCAGTTCAGTGAGTAGATAACACAGTAAAACATATTAATTCTCTCGTGGAATAATAAGCTCTTGCTATACTGTAGAACGTGGAGTATAATTTGTCGATAAATAAAATAATATATTATATGATTAACTTTCCATCCCTCACACACCTTTCAGACTCAAAGATCAACCCCTTTCTCTCCTTCCATCATAGAACACCTGCTAACGCCAGACCTAGCGAAGCGGTGCCTGGCGTTGGTATGGGGTTACTGCCTGTTATGGACAACGCCGCCACTGCTGGGTTGGTCCCGGTACATCAGGGAGCCCTTCCGAGTTTCCTGTTCGACCGATTGGCACGACAGGACCATCTCCGGCATAGCCTATAGCTTCTGTAGGTGACACTGTGGGATATGGGATGCTTGGGTTCACACTCAGGATGGGATGGAGAAAGGAAACTTACAATGTGCTCTCTGTATACATGTTGTATTGGATGTACAATGCAGCTTGGTGCTGGGAAGGCAGCATGGTTACAAGCGTGATGTAGAGAGAGCTGGTTGGTGAGGACGCTCAGAGGAGGACAGCTTGTAGGTCGCCATGCTCGCCGGCGGGAGCGAGGGCCGCCAGGCAGCGGCGGAGGAGGTGGTGTTGCTTGCTGCGGCTGTAGCTAGACGAAGAGAGAGGTCACCACTAGGTCAGGTCTTAAATAGCGGTGGTAGACGTGGCTTAGTAGTTGACCTCCGTGATGTATGGCGGCGCTGGTTGACCCAGACCACGAGGCATACACTGGGGAATTCGCGGGGTCGGCTACGCAGCGACAAACAGCGTTTGTAGGGGAGAAATCCACTACAACACAACACCAGTTAACTCTTCTAACCGGGATTCAGGGATGGTGTTTGTTTATTTTACTTTTATTCTTACTTATACCTTCACTTTACTTATACTTTTACCTTTATCCTCTTCGCCACTGATCGGCTCGTTGTTTTCAATCTATATTCTTTTCCTTTAAATTTATTTCTAAGTTTCTGTTCAATTTATTTATGCATATTTCTTTCCTCTTGGTATATCTTGGAATTTATATTAGGCAAACAGGATAATCGATATATTTTTTTTTTTGGGGGGGGATACCTTTACTTAAGTCAGTAATATACACAATAAGTTCCCTGGAGTTTGGAAAGTTATTAGTCTGATTGAAATCGGTCTGTTAGCGACCCTATCTCCCTCTCTCCCTCCCTCCCTCTCTCCCTACCTCCCTCTCTCCCTACCTCCCTCTCTCCTCCTCATTACTTTATATTCAACCGAGACCTCACATTACAGAAGTTCCACCCACTATACCCGACCCCACCTTGGAGATATTCAATCGGTTAGGTCTCAAATCAGCTGCAATAAACAAATAATCAGATGTCAACTTCAGGTACTGTAATTAGTAAGAGCCGCAATAATCAACACGACTTCTCAGTATCACCTTTAATCATCACGCCTCAATATCATCTGGGCTCAATGTTCCAGTTCTTTGTGATTGGACGAGAGAATGAAAGCTTGTACCTATAATTACAACGCCACGACAAGTAAACAATACCGCCTGACGTCCCGGGATGATAAGGTAGCGTAAATGTAGACAGTCAGTACCGCCTTCTACCACCTACAATAGTGATTTCATGGAAGTTACGCCAGACGGTTGTATACGCCCATCCCTGCCCCCCCCCCCCCTCCCCCCGGCCTTGTACCTCCAGTTTTGTTAAGTTTGGGTTAGGTTAGGTTAGGTGCTCTTGTAATATACAATGAACTGTAGACACGATGTTACTGACTGCCAGCTACTGTTGATCCACATAAGAACATCCAGGCAACAGTACAACACCTTCTCCAGCTTAACCTCCAACCCAGCTTAAGCTCCACCAGTTTAACCTATAGCTTCTCCTCTCCCTCCTCCTCAGGCCTGGTAGTGTTCTGCTTCTTGTTGCAGTTGGTCATCCTCATCGTCTCATATTACAAGATCCTCAACAAGTCTCGTCACCTCCAGCTCGGGTGGCCAGACACCGACCCAAGGCTCTTCCACGTCGGCGAGGATGACGTCAACTCGGTGAGCTCCCTTTCCCCTCATAGGCAAGCTTCCCTCCATACACAAGTCACCCTCGATAGGTAAGGTTCCCCCATAGGTACAGTAAAAAATTTCCCTCCAAAGGTAAATTTCCCTCGATAGATGAACTCCCCATAGGCCAATTCCCTCTCTGATTGTCCCAGTATCCTTAAGTTATACACCAATTGTAAATCAGAACCCAATCGTCATTACTATCCCCAATTAACCATCTTCAGATTGCCACAGTGTCACTAGTTATACAAAACCTGTAAATCAGATACCAGTGTTTGTTTAATTGACTCTGATTTGTTCTTCTTTTTTTTCTTTACAGTCTGAGGGCATTAAGTGCTGCAAATATTACGTCTGTCTGTGTGAGAGCAACTTCAAGAATGGGGTCGAGAAACACGTCTTGTGGGTGAGTAGCTGTGGTACTAATTGTGGTAGTAGTTGTGATAGTGGTGGTGGTGGTGGTATTAATCATTGGTTTAATTAGCCAGTTTTAGATACAGGTACAGATTTAAGCATTAATTACAGTAACAAGTGCAGGTATGGATACAGTAAATAACCCTCTAATATGTTTACAGGTACAGGTATAAAGTGTTACAGGTACAAGATAAAGTATTAGGAAGTTCACTACAAGTATGACAATTTATTCTCACATCAGCTTTCCTCCTTCTCCTCCTCCTTCTACTTCGTCAGGTTAATATGATGATGGTACTGAGTTTCATCATCTTCTGGACGCCCTACACCGTTGTCTCCATCATCTCCGTCTTCCACACCGATCTGGACACCTTCTGGTAAGAGAGAGAGAGAGAGAGAGAGAGAGAGAGAGAGAGAGAGTCAGACCAAAAAATAGAAAGAATGGGAGAGTTATAGACGAGTGGACAAGAAGAGAGACAGACAGACAGACAGATAGAAAAAGTAGTGTCAGAGAGGGAGAGTAAGAGCTGTAGGAGGAAAGAGAGACAGACAGAGAATGGTATGTTTTCTTGACTATTTCTTTATTTGTTTATTTATTATTCCTCATTCTAAAGGTTACATTTATTTTCATCTGTCCCTTTCCCGCCCTCTCACTGGAGCTCTCCCTTGCAGGTACGTGTTTCCGACTGTGTTTGCCAAGACCTCGTGTATGATGAACCCGATCATCTACGGCCTCAGTCACAAGCTCCTCCGTCGGGAGCTCCTCGCCTTCCTTAAGACCTGCTGCTGCTGTTACCGCGACGAGAACGCCATCAAGGAACTCGCTGACTTACGCAGGTGGCCTCTTTATCTCACAATAGTTCATATAGTACTGTTAACTCCATGCCCTTAATAGAATCTCTCTCTCTCTCTCTCTCTCTCTCTCTCTCTCTCTCTCTCTCTCTCTCTCTCTCTCTCTCTCTCTCTCTCTCTCTCTCAAAAAAAAAAAAAAAAAAAAGTTCCTTGTACCTAGTAAACATTCATATTTTAATGATTACAAAAGACTTCCTCACATTCTCATATATGCTTTTACTGTATATAGCGAATTCCTAATTGCTAGAAACCTCAATGAATCCAGTCCATTGTTCCTCTCTGAATATCTATCTAATGCCATTTGTGTCAACCTCGATCTGAACTTGAGGAGGCTCTGGTTGTCTGCAGTGAACCCCTATCTCTCCCTTCAGGCGTATGGCGGAAGGTACCTACGACAAGGAAGGTATATACGTGGGAAAGGTGCGTGTGGGGTTATGTGCCTGCAATGGTTGTGTTGTCGGGAGAAGAGAGGTGGGTTGAGATCTAATCTAACCTAACCTAACTTAAACTAACCTACTAACTTAACCTAACTTAACCTAAGCTAACTTAAACTAACCTAAAGTATTACGACGTAACCAAACCAGCATAATGTAATTTAACCTAAACATAACCACTGCCTGTCTAAACAAAGGTATATCACTCTGGTTACTCAAACTGCATATTTGTGAACTTTTTTATTAATATTTGTTGTCTCTTTCATATAATAAATACAGTACTATACATCTTCAGAGGCTGCGACACACCTGAATAGATCTTCCTTCGTTATACCAAAAGCATTCAAGAATATTCACGTTTTCTATTACATTGAAGAAAATGGTATCCCGAGCGTACTAACTAAATTAAATAAACATTGATTTTACTGTCGCAACTTACAAGGTCAAATTTATTTACGAACTCGAAACCAGACCTAATTATTCTCATTAAAACCTTAATTCGGGGTCATAATACTTTATGTGAAGATAAATCATATTCAAACAATAGTTATTCAACAATTTAAGGCTTGAAAGGTAGACGTATACTTTACTTTATCCTTTTCGCCAATGATCTGCCTGTTAGCCTCTTTGAATTTTGTTAATATTTTCCCTGACCATTTCTAAACTTAGAAATATATATATTTAGTGGAAATTTTAAGAATAATCATTTAACATACTTCAAAATAAAACAAAATAGTACCAACAAAACTTCTCTTTACGGAGACTTCTAAATTCAACTACTATACTTTGCTAAGATATTTTTGGCTGAAGACGTGAATCAAAATAACCAAATTACCATTAACTAAACAATTAAATCTAATCAAATTAACACCAGACGATTTTATTCAGCTGAGAGAAACGTTTTGGTTTTCTTTAGGCGTTAAATACTGCATCAAGAATAAAGGGGCTTTTCCTGGGACAGGAAGTCCACACATAGTTTTACAGAATTATCTGGTAAACTGAATAAACCTAGAAGGTAATCTTTTCTTTTGTTCTTCAAAGACCCTACACGCGCAGATGACCGTGCTGGCGAGGCTCCAGAAGAACGTGTCAGAACACCCCGAGGATGATGCCAACCCAGACAGGTCCGGCAACACCTGCGCCATCACCCTGACTGATGAGAATTCTAGCGGCAACAGCAGGAGCAACATCTCTATCTGCATTCAAGGAAAGCAACAGGAGGTAATCAACGGAAATGGCAATGGAGGCGCAATTGTCGATCCCAAGGGCTGGAATTGTTATACGGGGGACCACCAACAAGAATTGTCATCTGATAGCCAGCCATCTCCCAAAATCAAACCGAGTTGCTTCCAGCGCCTCACCTCAAGTTCCAGGCGTAAGAAATCCTCTTCTCAGGACGACGCAGAGACGGAAGAAACCCTCCAGATCTCCGTCACCACTCTCAATACCAAAAACATAACAATGATGAACGAGCCCGAATTTCCTGACGAGGCCGCAAAGGGGGAACGGGAGGAGATGATCATCCACACTACCTCCACCTCCACCGTCACCCCCATCGACACCATTACTAACACTCAGTCTTCTATATAAAGCCGGTCCAAGCACGTCAAAGGGTTAGTACGTATGTGTTTGTCTCCACAAGAAAATACATTTTTTCCTTAGGTCTGAGAAATATCATTCGATCATGAACTTTCGTTACTTTTACTTTTACTTTTATCCTCTTCGCCACTGATCGGCTTGTTAGCCGCTTGGGCGATCGGTCACGTCTCTTTTCCTTTATATTCTTCACCAAAAGGTCGGCTCGCTAGCCGCCCGGGCGATCGGTCACGTCTCTGTCACGCACTGTTGGCAAGTACTGGGCATGCACCGGCTCCTGAATGTACCTGAACCCGCTCCAGTGTTGGTCAAGTCTTCTCTTGAAAGAGCTCACACTCGGTGCCGTCACAACACTCTCTGGTAGATTGTTCCAAGAGTTTACAACCCTCACTCCGAAAAGTTTGCCCTCACGGTTTTCTGGACTTGGGCTTCTTCAATCTTGAGCTGTGACCCCTTGTGGGGCGAGCGTCCGCCAGCTCCAAGTAAGGACACTCGAATGAGTGGTGCCCCCTGAGATGCTTATAAACCTCAACTAGGTCCCCCTTGCCCGTCTGTAGTATAAGCTAGGCAAGTTCAGGCGCTCCAATCTCTCAGGGTAGCTGAGGTGCCGAAGTGCAGGCACCAGTTTGGTGGCCCTCCTTTGAACATTTTCAACCAACTGACAGTCCCTAGCATATCTCGGGGACCAGATGGGGTGACAGTACTCCAGATGGGGAAGCACTTCACTCCTGAAGATCGTCACGAGGGACGGACCGTCTAGATATCTGAACGACCTTCTTATAAGACCCAATAATTTATTTGCCTGATTTACCTTCTTCTCACAATGGCCCGAGAACTTCAGCTCATTGTCAACATACACACCTAGGTCCTTCTCACACACAGTCTCAACTAGTACATTTTCTTCATCCCGTTGGGACATATGGTACGCCTCCTTACCAGTCCACAGTTGTTAGTCCTTTATCCATCGAAAATGTCCTTGAAAATACTCCTGTTTCATTTATCAGATTGGTGTAGGCCTGTATGACTACATTGCTTATTATTTCTGACCAAAACCCCTCTCATGTTGTTGACTAAGGCTGTTGAGACACTGGCATATATTTTGATCATACAGGCTGTACTGTATTCACTGTTACAAGACAGAATATATATATATACAGGATATATATAAAATATAAATAATATGTACAATCAAAGACAAAATATGTGTCGCGGTTTTGTCCAAAGATTAAATATAACTCGTGAAAAATTATGAGAGCCTCCTACCACAAGGCAGAGCGCACCAAAAGTTTAGCTCTTCGGTATATGTTTTCACTAAGTTTTATGACACGACTTTTGTCTTTCATTGTACATATTATACATTCTATAGCTACAGTATTTTGTGTGCATTTTTGCAGTCATTCATAACCTAATCCCACAACCATATGATAATAGGGGTGATTAGGTTATATAAAGGATGGCAGATATTGAATAGGTCCTGTGCCATAATCTGGACTTCCCAAATTTTAATATATGTTTTCAGAACTGTGTTGGGTTCCAAAAAGGCACATGACACATGAACTGCATAACAGATTGTGTAGCTGGCCAGGTATTAAGAGTAACATTGGTCTGAGAATTTAGCCATGTCTATATCGTCAACTCGGGTGTCAATCACACATCATACACAGGCTGAGATACTTCTTATGTCTGAATATTTAAGAACCAGAGGTGGCCATGCTGAGGGAAGGAGGTCAGTAGCCGGTGCAGGATCCCTCCAGTGCACTTGATAATTTTGCCAAGGGCTATTTTGAAGCCCAGTACTGTTCTTGATTCCTCAACTTGGGGCTGGTAGACCATTCCATAGGTCTACTACCCTCCGTGTGAAAGAGTATTTTCTTATATTCATTCTGCATTGGAACTTCGCGAGCTTGTAGTTATGTCCTCTCGTGTTGGCAGTGCGTGACATTACAAAACAATGTCTAGGGTTTACATTTTTCATCCCTCTTGGGATTCTGAATATTTCAATGAGGTCTGCCCTATTGTGCCTTGTCCAAAGGGTTGTTAGTCCTAAGGCCCTCAGTCTACTTGGATGATTGAGATGAGAGCTCTAGAATCATCGTAGTCGCTGTGTGTTACACCTTTCCTAGGAATGTTAGATCTTTCAGGAGGCAAGGTTTCCATGCCTGTATACAGCAATCCAGACTGGAACGCACTTGAGATTTGTACAATTGGACAAGCCAATGGGGGATATGGGTATAAGTCTTCTTAATTATGTGGACATACAATTTTTAAGTGCAGGAAATTTCCCAACATAAAGAACAAATACTGTATGTATATGAAATGCGAGTTCAGATTCTTATTTCATTAATATACATTATACTTGATCCATTACGTAGGTTAAAGTCTTGCTGTTGTGATTTCTTTCAAATAATCCTGTGATGTACTTTTACCCGGAAAAAATTGTCTCAATTCTGGGTTGATGAACGAGTTTCCAAGGTTGAAAATCAGTCACATTTTCTTAGAAAATTGCAAGAAAATTCGGGATAATATCTCCCCCAAAAAATTTGGGGGGGTTCTGGGAGCAATTTCTGAGGATGGAATAATGTTTAGACTATTGGAAACTTTTTCCATTACCTGGAAAACTTCCAGGGATATGGGATTTGTCTGGGTTTGAGCCATCTCATTACCCGGAAATTTCTCATCCCCAGAAGAGCTCTGCACCAATTATTCTGGCTTATGGGAATATTACTGTACAAGTTTTCTGTATTGTGCAGTACAGTAGTAATTCTTCCCTAAATTTATAGTCATTTGAAATGGGAGGGCTTGAAGTACTGTACTGTATTACCCCGGCGTCTCCAGCCATCTACAAAATGCTTCCACTGAGAAAGCCTTCACAGATTGAAAATTAATTTGATGTACAGTATTTTTTAACTACTTTATACAAGATATATTTCTTCTGATTTTGATAACCAACATTTCCTGTACATACTGTTGGTAGTACTGTATGCAGTATCCCATAGTGATATACGTACTGTACTGTGAATTCTTCGTGGGGACTTAACTTTATCGTCCAGGAGACCAGTTTTAATGCGATTAGATGGCAGGATTTTTGTTTTCTCATCATAAAGGCAAATTACTGTATAGTAATGTATTGTTCTGTACCATGTAAGTGTATCATTGTTCGTCATCTATTTATTTTATCTAGGGAGAAGAGTTATGCTGAAACACACTGTCTCATATCAGATAAGAGAAAAATCATTAATTGTTTTCATGTTGTTTAGAGTAGAGCAAAGTTGTATGGATATTTACAGTATTTTTTGTCATGAATGTTGCTGATAATTTCTTTAACCTCTTTTTTAAGTATGGTGCCAACCCTTGAGTACTGTACAGTGAATTAGCTATTTGAATAAGATAATTTAACCCCTTGAATGAGATGTCTTAAAGCTCTTTTGAGTACTGCACAAGGACAGTGTGTTAATTAGACTCAAAGTTTAGTCATCATACTTAAGGAGTAACTCCTTATTCTGATAATTTCTTTAATACTGTACACTCTAATTGTTTTTCATTGTGGAGTGAATGCCTTGCTCAATATAAATTATGTCGCTGTATTTTTGAAAGAGGTTATTGTACCTGTATTGTACAATGTATGGTATCATCATAAATAAATTGCCAGACATGAAAGTTGTGAATAAAGCTGTACAGCAAACATGCTTTAAGTAAACCTTTATGTACTGTAGTTTTAGTCAGCCAGGCCTCTCCCTCCCCCCTCTCTCCTCTCTCTCTCATTTACCAGGTAGTTACATATTATTGTGAGTTTTTTGTTGAAGGGATGATAGAAAGAGTTTAATAATAAGGATTGTTATTTCATGATTACAGTTTTGACAGCAAGTAAACAAAGTGACATCCCCAAGTAATAAAAAGCTAATACATTGTTCATTAGTTACAAAATAAGCAAAAGCGTTTAAAAAGTATCAACACAAACATTAGACACACGAGAACATAACTGTAAACCTAAACTTTCATAAACATTAGAAAGACGAGTTTTCAGCATGGCCGTTACCTCAACAACAGGCTCTGGCCACACTGACTGAACGGAGGGTTAATTATAGAGAGTCATAGTTAGAGTTGGATAACATTATTTTTTACCAAAATATAGAAGTCACACTTGTATATACAGTATATATTTATGTATATAGTCTGAGGCTGTCAATGGACAAGTAGGGCCCCATGCAGAAGATATTAACACAAAAATCCCCCCCTTTTTCCTTTACTTATATATATTTTTTTTTATCTTATGTCATTCTAACTGTACAAGCTTGGCAAATATGATGGACTCTTGAAGATGAAGACAACATGTGGTGTAGATTATATGACATGAGAGTTTAGAAGCAGTAACTCAGAAGAATAGTTGTGCCGCCGGTATCCATTCACCCATCTTAACACTGTAGCACCTTATCTTTAATACTTTAAACAGAAATGGTTTCTATTAGAGTACAATACACTGAAACAATTTCTGTTAATAGCAAACATCACCTAAAACCTAACAGTTGCATATCATTCTATTGTCTTCTGAGTCAGAGCTTGGGTGAGGGTAGTATTGATGTATGTCATGATATTACACATTCGTTCTGTGTTTTTGTATCAAGTTTTACACTACTGCATCTGTCAGTTTACACTAATGACAACAATTTATCATTTATGTTTATGAAGCAAAAATTTTCCATCACAATAAATGTAATGAAAATGCTTTGCTTATCTATGAATTTCACTTTGTGTTTACACATAAAACTAATAAAAATTTATTTGGCAACTTCGAAACCAGGCATAATATTTATGAACCAACATAGGATGTATTTGGAAAATGAATACGTATGTATTCCAAGAGATGTTTCATCACTTGATCCAAGACATCGTTGATCATATGATCCACTACATGTTTGATCATAAATTTATTTTCCAAATCCCCATAACAATGAGAAACATGAGGCACTAATAGGGAACTTAAACCTAGAATCATCAAGTGTACAATACAGAGCTGTATAATATAAAACACAGCTCCCGGCTTCCTAGTTCTTTCTATGAATCACATATAAGACAAGATTATGCAACAAATTTCAGTTAATATCACCAGCATAGGTGAAAAAACTGCCATAAAAGAATTCTTTTAGATCTTAAATATGTTATAAAATCACAA